AATGTGTAAACCAACAAGGCATAGTCTTCTCTACCTCAGTCAACTGACTATACAGTACACCCTAGGAGGCTCTAGGAGCATGCTTGTGAACAGAAGGCATTGTAACAATAGGAGAAGCCTTAGTATTTGGATAACTTCTTCACACAACTTGCTTGTGCCATTAAGAACTTGTCATACCATATCACACATAAACCATTTCTATTTGATAATGAACTGCTGCTGTGAACATCAGATATTACCATTAGAAGGAATATCTAATAATTGTAATACCTTAGAAGAAATAGTTCTGTATGTCCTATAACACTGGGCTCCTAAAAGTTTCACTGACATAGTAGGTCCTTGAAATTTGGTTAGATTTATTTCTCATTCTCTGGTGTGCATATATGTTATCAACAAGTCCAAAGTAATTGCTAACTCCCACTCACTTGTTCAATTAGTGTAATGTTATTGACAAAGTTGGCCAGTGTGACATTCGTGAAAGATAGAGGCAATCAAGAACACTTCAAACTAAGACATTACACAGGCATGAATAATTAAAATATTTTTGAGGTAAAACTGCAAAGGTATACTGCTGGCCTTGTGACTGAAAGCAAGAAAATTGCTTACAAAAATATATGCCCCCCAAATTATTAGCCATATCAGTTGTTGTATACTATTTATTTACCAGTATATGGGTTAATCTGCTCTAGTAAGTACATACATCTGGTCTGGTGACTGCAACCAGAAGCACTACTTAATTATGTCCTCAATAGTCAGCTTTCCTCTTTATGACATATTTGTCTTCTGTATTTGTGAGATAAGAGAGTTAAAGGGAGATGTGGTAAGAAACTCAACGCCTGAAAGTTTTTCTTTTTTATTTCAAATATCGATCCCAATTCCCTCTCCCTTCCTCTCTTCCTTCTTTATTCCCTCCCTCCCTCCCTCTCTCCCTCCACTCTTATGCCTCCCCACAACACTCTCCTCCCATCCTCTTGTAGGGTGATGCCCTTCAGGAGGGGACATCTAAATCTGTCAAGTCATTTGGAGTAGGGATTAGGCCTTCTCTCCTGTCTCTAAGTTAAGGGATTATCCATCCATGAAGGATGTGCTCCCAAGTCCTTTTGTGCACCTGGAATATATCCTGTTTCCATTGTCCGAGGTACCATAGACTGTTCAGGCCTTCTAGCTGAGGCCCATGTTCAGAGGGTCTGAGTCAGTCCCTCAGCTATCAGTCTGGGGCCCATTAGCTCCTCCTTGATCAGGTTGGATGTCTCTGTAGGTTTCTGTAGCCTGGTATTGTCCTCCTTCTCTGCATCTGGATTGCAGTTCAGCTCAGTATTGAGTTGTGGGTGTCTGCTTCTGTTTCCATCAACTACTAGATAAGGGCTCCATGATGGTGGATAAGTTAGTAGTCCATCTCATCAGGGAAGAGCATTTATGGTAGCCTTTCCAATGTTACTCAAATTGCTAGTTGGGGTCAGTCTTGTAGATCTCTGGACATTTCTCTAGGTTGTTTTCTCTTCAAATCTATACTGGACTCCTTTTTATGGTCTCTCTCTCTCTCTCTTTTCTCTCAACTATTCTTCCTCTGACTCAATCATCCTAGTCCCACTTGCTTTCCTCTCCTCCCCTTCTCTTTCTCCTAGTTCCCTCTCTACTCACTGCCCCCCCCCACTCCCCATATGCTCAGGAGATCTTGTCCCTTTCCTCTTCTGTAAGGGAACTTATATGAATCTCCTAGAATCCTACTTGTATCCTAGTTTCTCTGGCAGTGTGAATTAAAAATCTATCAATGTGATTCACCATATAAATAAACTGAAAAAGAAAAAAAAATGATCACCTCCCTAGATGCTGAAAAGACTTCGACAAAATACAACACTCTTTCATGATAAAGGTCTTGGAGAGATCAGGGATAACAGGAACATACCTAAACATAATAAAAGCAATATAAAATAAACCAACAGCCAACATCAAACTGAATGGAAAGAATCTTTAGGGGATTCCTCTAAAATCAGGAAAAAGACAAGGCTGCCCTCTCTCTCCATATCTCTTCAATATTGTACATGAAGTCCTAGCTAAAGCAGTAAGACAAGAAAAGGAGATCAAGGGGTTCCAAATTGGAATGGAAGAAGTCAAACTTTCACTATTTGCAGATGATATGATAGTTTAAATAAGCAACCCAAAAAACTATATCAGGGAACTCCTACATCTGATAAATACCTTCAGCAAACTAGCAGGATACAAGAAAAACTAAAAAATAAAAATATCAGTAACCCTACTTTACTCAGACAACATAAAGTATCTTGGGATAATGCTTAACAAGCAAGTGAAAGACCTATATAATAAGAAATTTGTGTCTTTAAAGAAAAAATTAATGAAGATAATAGAAAAAAGAAAGATCTCCCATGCTCTTGGATAGGTAGGATAAACAGTAAAAATGGTAATCTTGCCAAAAGCAATCTACAGAATCAATGCAATTCTCATTAAAATCCCAGCACAATTCTTCATTGACCTTGAAAGGATAACAATCAACTTTATATGGAAAAACAAAAGACCCAGTATAGCCAAAAACAACGTGTACAATAAAGAAACTTCAAGAGGTATCACCATCCCCAACTTTAAGCTCTACTACAGAACTATAGTCCTGAAAACAGCCTAGTATTGGTACAAAAATGGACAAGTAGACAAATGGAATTGAATTAAAATCCTGCCATTAACCCACACACCTATGAACACCTGATTTTTTGACAAAACAACTAAAAGCATACAATGGGAGAAGGAAAGCATCTTCAACAAATGGTACTGGCACAATTGGGTGATGGTGTAGAAGATTGCAGATCAACCCACATCTATCGCCATGCATAAAACTCAAGTCCAAATGGATCAAAGACCTCAACATACATCTAGCCACAATGAACTTCTTAGAGATAAAGTGGAAGGTACCCTAGAACAAATTGGTATAGGAGACAGCTTCCTGAGCATAACTCCAGGAGCTCAGACACTGAGAATGGCAATTAATAAATGGGACCTCCTCAAACTTAGAAGCTTTTGTAAGGCCAAGGACACAGTTGACAAGACCAAACGGCAGCCCACAGACTGGGAAAAGATTTTCACTAATCCTATATCCAACAAAGGGCTGATCTCCAAAATATACAAAGAACTCAAGAAACTAGTCAACAAAACACCAAATAACCCCATTAAAATGGGGTACAGAACTGAGGAGAGAATTCTCAATAGAGGAACTCAAAAAGGCTGAAAAGCACTTAAGAAATTGCTCAACATCCTTAGATATCAGGGAAATGCAAATCAAAACAACTTTGAGATACCATCTTATTCCTGCCATAATGGCTAAAATTAGAAACACCAATGACAACTTATGCTGGGAAGATGTGGAGAAACGGGAACACTCCTCCACTGCTGGTAAGAGTGCAAACTTGTACAGCCATTTTGGACATCAGTATGGTGGTTCCTCAGGAAAATGGGAATCAGTCTATCACAGTACCCAGCTATCCCCTTCTTAGGCATATACCCAAATGATCCACATCCATACAACAAAGACATTTGTTCAACTATGTTCATAGCAGCATTATTTGTAATAGCAATTACCTGGAAGCAACCTAGATGCCCCTCAATTGAAGAATGGATAAAGAAGATGTGGCACATTTATACAATGGAATACTAATCATTGGAGAAAAACAATGGAATCTTGAAATTTGCAGGCAAGTGGATGGCACTTGAAGAAACCATCCTGAATGAGGTAACCTAGTCACAAAAAAAGGAACATGGTATGTACTCGCTCATATATGGATTTGAGACATAGAGCAAAGTATCGCCTGAAAGATTTATGTTATTGACTGGTGTCACTAATTTCTACTGTGCTTCCTAGACTATGATATTTTCTTTGGTTCATCATTTTCCCAGGTAGAAGCAACTCCGATGGCTTCCTTTTTACCTTCCTGACTATAACAGCCCTCACTACATAAGTCAAGGAGCCAAACTGTCATTATCCTGACTTCTCCACTTATCTATCCCAAATACACATCTGTAACTGGGGAAATAACTACACTTTGGGTTCATGAACCACTGAACCTACTGTGAGCTGAGATTCAGATAGAACTCCATTAATTACCTAATATCCATAAGTCCCTACTTTAACTGGAGGGCCAAATGCTTCTTTGAGTCTTCCTGGAATCATTACCAATTCTGAACCAGCATCCAATAGATCCCCCAAAGTCTGATTGCTTCCTTTCCCCCAGTGTACTGTTACTCTTGTAAAAATGCTGAAGGTCACTATGAGGAAAGATGGCAGAAAGAGTAATAATAAAACTCTTAGGGTTTTTAGCAAATTCATTCCTCAAGGGCACATAGCCGGAAGGGTTTTCTTTTTTTTATTATTTTTAAAAATACTATTTTATTTGTATTTGTGTATGAAAATGGCTATACTGTCATTTTATATACATACTGATATGGGAATCAGAATTCAGTAACACGGCATTTCCAATGTATAGAGAACACAATCGTTTCCACTGTTACAGAAAGTAGAAGAGAAACCATGAGCAGTGATTTTCTTTCTCACTGAAGAACAGCACCCTCGAAGATCAAATCCACCGGTAAAACTCATCTACACTGAGACCACATACAGAGCAAAGTTAGTGATTGTACTTATGTATTATTTGTACTAAGCCATTCATCGTCCTCACACTCAATGTAAAGAAATAAAATATAATCTTAAGAAAAATATGTCCTCATTATTATTCTTAGGAAAAGAGTCTCTGTGGCTTGTGGAGCGGGAGCACTGTGTAGCAGGTGTGGGGAGCACCGTGCAGCAGGTGTGCTTGCTGGCCCCCAGAGCGTCAGTGTACTGTTCAGATCCCGATGTGCTGGATGGAATACCATCCATTATCAGGCATCCACACTAACTCCATGGGAGCTGCACTAGAATGAACCATTTTGTGGGGTTCCCAGATCTCACTAAGTAAGAAAAGACTTTATACACATAAATACAACAATTGATCTGTCTATAAATTATAGCTATAGGCTCTTCTTTAGTGTAAGGTGGAAAAGCGGCCTCTGAATACATAAAGTATTACTGTAGTCTACAGATTGCTGACTGCTACAGTGTTGTTGCAATGAAGACATAGCACGTATCAAAACCACCGTTAGATTAAGACACTTCCACAACTTTTATCAGCTCTTCGAATAACGGAGCCAGGTCCTTTTCTAGGCTGACAATTAGTCCTGTGTTGGTGTTACTGCTGGCTATGAAACTAACGACCAGAGGCAAACGATTGAATTGAACCACCTGGTAGGTATTACAGTAACAGATGATACTTTTGTTTTTTGAAAGTCCGAGTTTGCTGCCTTGGTCTGTTGTGAGGGCAAAGGTGGATAAGAAGCCAGGCCTCAGGGCGTGCTCTGGAGCACTGTCATTGGCCACTTTAATAACAGGCACCCCGTCTCTATCTGATACAACGATTGCATGGATCCCTTCAACGCTTGGCAACTTTTTGTACAGGGATCGCTTTAGATCATCCGCCATGATGAACCCCTTCCTCTCGCAGGAACAATCTGCATGCCTGGAAGAGAAACTTCGGTGACCCTTGCCGCATCCCGGGCTTTTCACCCTCCCCAGACCCAGCATCACGAGATCCACCCTCGCCAGGGCCGGGCGAGATGCCGTAGTTGTGGGTCTCCGTCGTGGGAGGGAGGTGGCCAGCCCCGACGTCCCGCCTGTGCCCACCCCCACCATGTCCCCGCGCCCAGAGAAGGGGCGAACTCTGCAGACCCGTGTGCGCTGCAGCCTGGGGCGACCTGCCCTGGTGTCCCCGCAGTCTGCTTGCCTCTCTCAAACCACCTGTCAAGCCACTGTCACATGACTCTCATTCAAGGGTTTTCAAGGTCGATCAAGTCATAATATTGGTCCATACTTTGAAATTCTCTCTTGTCAGGATCCAATGTACCCCCTTTCCCATTTTTTTCCCCTTATACGCAGACCTAACAAAAATCCAATAAGCTTCTTGTTATTTCATGGCTGGAAGCAACATGGCTGCCAGTTCTGTAGGCAGCCAAGGTCATACCTCACTCACACTGGCCGCAGAACTTGGTAGTGTAAGAGTTACCCAGGTTTTACTGGTTTTGAAGGCATGGATGAGTCATGGAGAACAGCTGAAGCTTGGCACTATGAGAGGCATTGGTGAAGATACAGCCTCTGTGGCAGTTGAAGGCCCAGGTTTTAAGGGGTCATGAAGAGAAAGTGGGGCTTGGCACTATGAAGAGAGCATGGGCGATGCTATTGGCAACAATATAGCTCAGTTGCAGCAGAAGACCCCTTCATTTTGGAGATGCTGGTACCATGGGATGTCCGTGAAAAGAGCAGCTTCTGGGAGTGGAACCTGCCAGAATTTGGAAAACAAGCTGTGTATGCTACAGAGGGCAGAACCAGAGAAGTGTTACAAGCCCTTTGGAGGAGCCCAGAAGATCTTAAGTGAATTCAAAACATTAGACATTGCTTAGGTCTGATTAGGACTGTGCACTGGTACTTATTTCTCTGTTGGAGCAAGAAATATTTAACTTATTTTTTACTTTTTTCAGGACTCCACAATGTAAAGACTGTATTTTTAAAAATTATTATAGGTTTTAAAGGAGACTTTAGATTTTTTTTAAAATAAATGTATCATTAAACAAATGTTTCACAGCATAAACAATTGTACTGCATCTTAATATTCAACAACATTTCCCCTTTTGTCTAAATAAAAATGAAAAATTTTAACTTTAACATAGTAAAACTGTATACAACAAAACAGTTATCAAGTAAGAATTACATTTACAATATAAAGTACAATTTTATTTAGCAATTTCAGAGATAATACTTCATTATTTCATCTTACTGATTCAAAAGTTTTATACTTAACTTTCTATCATATCTGAGGAAAACTATAATTATCTAGTCTGTAACTCTATTCTAAGAAGGAGACTTTAGACTTTTAAAGAGATTGAATTTTGAAAGTATTTTTAAGTTTGGAAATATTTTATATTGTGTTACTTATTAGTAATCTTGGGAATTAATAAGAAAGGAAAGGTTGTGGCTTAACAGTGTTGTGTTTGGGAGTCAAGTTCACAAAAACTCAATGGTGCTAGATACTTTTTAGTCAACTTGACATAAGCTAAAGTCATCTGAGAGGAAAGAACCTCTATTAAAATAATAGTCCCAAGCTAGGTGGGAGAGGGCCTCTGGCTGGGTCTCTGGCCAAAAAGGAAGTTCAGCTGGTTGAGCATCTTTGATCTAGCAGGTTTTTACTACACCATCTGACTCCTAAGTCTTTATTGGTGATGAGAATGATAGAAATTTAATTAAAAACTACAGAGCTGGTGCTGGTGGGACTGGAAGTCCAGCTGGGCCATGGCCTGAGCAGTGGGGCACCAACTGTGGGCCATGGGGCCACAGAGCCACACATGCTAGTTAAAGTCTTATCAGTAGATTCAGGTTTGCCAAGGCAATCACTTGTCAGGAAAGAAAAGAAAAACTTCTTGAAAGATGAAGCTCTCATGCTATCAAATAGTCATGGAGCCATGACTGTGCTGCATAGTGGGAATAGCTGGAGAAACCCATAGAAGCAACTGACCTGCCAAGGGGGAGCATAGGACCAAACCAGACTCCATGAATATGGTGTTAGTTAGAAGGACTGGGCAGTCTATGGGGCCTCTAATAGTGGATCAGTATTTATGCCTAGTATATGAATGGATTTTGGGAGCCCATTCCACATAGAGGGATACTCCCTCAACCTAGGCACATGAGAGAGGATATGGGCCCTGCTCCAAATGATATGACAGACTTTGAAGACTCACCACTATAGGCCTCACCCTCCCTGGGGAGCAGAAAGGGGATGGGGTGGGGGTTGGTGAGGGTAACAGGGGAGGACGGGATGGTGCGGGAACTGGGATTGATATATAAAACAAGCTTGTTTCACATTTACATTTAAAAAATTATAAAAAAATAAAAAAAATCCTTATTCTAATCCTGGAGTGAGTCAATGTTGTCTTTAATTTTTTAAAAGAAAACTATGGCCATGCAGATGTTTTAAGGATCCTGAAGTGGGAATATTTTTCTTGGTTATCCATATAGCCTCAAAAACAAACAAACACTTCTACAAAGTGTAACAGAGAACAATGGCAATGAAAAAAGATGCAGCACAAAGATAGTTAGAGTTAGACATGTGGAGCTTAGATATGGGTGTCATGTGGAATGGCCAGAGCATCTTCACAGACACTGAGGAGAGGCAAAGATTTTCCTCTGGATCCTCTGGAAGGAGTGACACCTAGCTTACACATGGGGTTTTTTTTTTTTTTTTTTTTTTTTTTTTGTAACTTTGTTTCTTTTTCTTTTTTTTAATTTTATATAACAGTCCAATTAAATGAAAACAAATATTTATACACAATATTTGGGAATTTGGGCGTCGTTCTTTCCAAACTACTTCCTGCTGGTAAGGGGCACTGTCTTGGGGGATTCGAAAAAGATTCAGATATCCTGGCTGTAGTCTGTAGGGCTGTTTTGTCCAGCTGTTTTGAATGTAGGATCAGCTTGTACTCTGTTTCAGGCGGTCTGGCGTAATCAAACCACATTAGTCTGGAAGGAATCCACATGTTTTCATTTTCTGTGGAAACAAAAATAGAAATCCTTTTCCCCAGTAACTTGTCCTTCAACTTAAATTTTGGAGTCAAAGCATTTTTTTTAGTTTAATATATTATTTTACATGTCGATCCCAGTTCCCTCTCCTTCCCTTCCTCCCTCGCTCCCTCCCCCCAGCCCTCTCTCCCTTCTTCCCTCCCATTTTACCCTCTCTGCCCTCTCACATGCACTCTAAACACCCTCCCCTCCCACCCCCCACCCCAATTCCATATGTAGGGGAATGCCATCCAGTTGGGGTCATGTAGATCTGACAGGTCCTGTGAAGTAGGGACTAGGGATTCCCTCCTGTCTCTAGATTAAGGCAGTTATCCCTCCATGGGGGATATGTTGGCAAACTTCTTTTGTGAACCAGGGATACATCCTGGCTCCACTGTCTGAGGTCTCTTTGACTGCTCAGTCCTTCTGGCTGAGACCCATAATCAGGGGGGCCTGAGTCAGTCCCATGCTGGCTTCCCAGCTATCAGTCTAGTGGCCCTTAGCTCCTCCTTGTTCAGGTAAGCTGTCTGTATGTGTTTCTGCCCCATGGTCTTGTCCTCTCCATCTGCATCTGGGTTCTAGTTCGACTCAGTGTTTATGTATGGGTGTTTGGTCCTGTTTTCAACAGGCATTAGTTGAGGACTCCATGGATAAGTTAGTTGTTGATCTCACTCTCCGGGAAGGGCATTTATGATAGCCTTTCCACGGAAGCTCAAATTGTTAGTTGGGAGCAGTCTTGTAGTTCTCTAGACCTTTCTTTGTATTCAATTTTATCTTCAAACCAATATTGGCTCCCACTTTTATGTTCTCTCTCTCTGTCTCTCTCTCTTTCCGATCTTCTATTCCTAACCAGGCTCAATCTTCCTGGTCGCACATGTTTTCCTTTCCTCCCCCTCATTTTCTCCTACTTCTCTCTCCATTCGCTGCCCCCCCCACTTCACCTGAGCTCTGGGGGACTTGTCCCTTCCCAGTTCTGTGAGGGACTTTATATGAAACTCTTAGAATACACCTTGTATCCTAGTTCATCTGGTGATGTGAATTATAGGCTGGTGATCCTTTGCTCTAGGTCTAAAATCTATGTATGAGTGAGTACATACTGTGTTCCTCTTTTTGTGACTGGGTTACCTCATTCAGGATGGTTTCTTCAAGTGCCATCCACTTGCCTGCGAATTTCAAGATACCATTATTTTTTTTCTGCAGAGTAGTATTCCATTGTGTAGATGTGCCACATCTTCATTAACCATTCTTCAATTGAGGGGCATCTAGGTTGCTTCCAGGTTCTTGCTATTACAAATAGTGCTGCTATGAACATAGTTGAACAGATGTCTTTGTTGCATGGATGTGAATCCTTTGGGTATATGCCTAAGAGGGGGATTGCCGGGTCCTGTGGTAAACTAATTCCCATTTTCCTGAGGAACCGCCATACTGATCTCCAAAATGGCTGTATGAGTATGCACTCCCACCAGCAGTGGAGGAGTGTTCCACTTTCTCCACATCCTCTCCAACATAAGTCATCACTGGTGTGTCTAATTTTAGCCATTCTGGCAGGGGTAAGATGGTATCTCAAAGTTGTTTTGATTTGCATTTCCCTGATAGCTAAGGATGTGGAGCATTTTCTTAAGTGTCTTTCAACCTTTTTGATTTCCTCCATTGAGAATTCTTTCTTCAGTTCTGTACCCCATTTTTTAATAGGGTTATTTGGTGTTTTGTTGACTAGTTTCTTGAGTTCTTTGTATATTTTGGAGATCAGCCCTTTGTCGGATATAGGATTAGTGAAAATCTTTTCCCAGTCTGAGGGCTGCGGTTTGGTCTTGTCAACTGTCCTTTGCCTTACAGAAGCTTCTAAGTTTGAAGAGGTCCCATTTATTAATTGTTTCATTCAGTGTCTGTGCCCCTGGAGTTATATTCAAGAAGCGGTCTCCTATACCAATTTGTTCAAGGGTACCTCCTACTTTCTCTTCTAAGAGGTTCAATGTGGCTGGATTGATGTTGAG